TACAATACCACTTCACATTGTACTACTGAATTTACTCCTTATGAATTATTGTACGGACATAAGCCATTTATACCTAGTAGCATATACAACTCTGATGAAAACACAACCTATCACGAGTACATTCGCGCTCTACAATATAGAATGAAATACTCCCGCGAAAAAGCTTTAGAAAATATAAATAAAAGCAAGGAAGCTTCAAAAAGATACTATGATGCCTCTTCGCGAGAAATATCTTATAAAGTAGGTGATTTAGTATATATTAAACAGCACCATAGGTTACGCAAGGCCCTGTCTCCTATTTGGAAGGGACCATTTAAAATCATTAAGGTCAACAGCAAAAATAATGTTACTGTATGCATAAATAGGAAACACGTAAAATACCACATTAATGAAATAAAACCAGTGTAAATTATGTAATAATTGTTTCAGATTTCTCCTCCGACCGAGTTATTCAAACCGAGAACAAATTGTACATAGTCCAGGATTATACTTCGATCCGACTTCTATGGCATACTTCTACAACGATTATTGGAATGTAGTAACTTATGTGGAAATAATACCTATAAAGCCTTATTTAAAGAAAATTGATCAATCTATTTCAAGTATGTCTAGTTTTTGTGAGAAGGCTCAAAACACCGCGATTATTACTATAGATTGTAAGGATATTATAAACCCGTTAGAAATTTTAATTAACGCTAATTATCTTAAATACGACTCCATATCACATATTATTTCCGAAAACCCTATTAATCGTTTTAAAAGATCTCTTGAATTTGGCGGTCAAATTCTTAAGTTTTTCTTCGGTACATTAGACGCCGATGACGCCAGAAAATACGACGAAGCTATTTCTACTTGTCAGCATAATGAAAACGAGATATATTCGCTAATGAAAGACAACATACACATTGTTCAATCAACCATCAATAATTTTAATGTTTCTATTCGTCAATTAAATAATAACGAAATTAGATTAAATAAACAAATAGAAAAATTAAATTACATATTTTCTGAAAATTCTAAAATTACTACAGACTTAATCTCTAGTTCAGCAAAAATAAATTCTATTTTTAATGTGATTGAAGGTTCACTGCTATCGGTTTCGAACATACTAGATACAATTTTAAACTCTATTTTATTTGCAAAATCAAACATCCTCCATCCCTATGTCTTAACTCCCACTAAGTTATTTAAAGAGCTCTCTAATAGCAAAATGAGCAAAATTAATGTGGAATTTCCCATTTCCTTATCATTAGAGAATATACATACAATTATTGATTTAGCCGAATTAACTTCGTATTATTATAATAATAAGATAGTATTTGTTATAAGAATTCCTTTAATTAACCCTATTAAGTTTAATATTTACAAGATTTTACCATTACCTACACAGTATGATAAGTATAATTTACAAACTTATGTTCTCATTCATCCTTCCAAGCTGTATGTAGCCCTTACGGATGATAGATTAAATTACGCATTGTTTGATAGTTTAAGTGAGTGTAAAAACGTTAACAATAAGTTTATGATATGTTTATCACCTTCTGTTTTGTCCACAATTAATAATCCAACCTGTGAAACTCAACTCTTGACTGTAGTAATCATGTCACTTCCAGAAACATGCGATTCGAAAATAATATATGGTAATATTAATTTATGGCAAAAACTTAGTGATGGACGATTTATTTATGTTCAGTCTAAACCAAATAAATTGACTGTTAAATGTACAAATAATAATAAGATTTCGGATTATACCGTACAAGGCACTGGTATATTATCTTTAAAAAATGATTGCGTTGCATATTACCAAACATTGCAATTTCACCTATCGCATAATTATAAGTCCGTGCTGCCTAGCCAAATACCAATCGATTTTAACATAGTTGAAGATAATTGTTGCAAATACAATTTATTGAACCACAGTTCTAATGTCCTAAACCCAATTACGCTAACAGATATTGATTTGGAATCGTTAAAATTAGCGTCATATAAATTAGATAGTTTAAAGAATCAAATTCATCAAGCCGAGAATCAGCCTCATATTGTTAAATACGGGCATTATTATTCAACGCTTACTTATATTGTAATTGCCAGTATTTTTAGTTATATACTGTATAAGATATACAACAAATGCTTTTCAAATTGTTGTAAAAATACATCTTGTTGTATCCAGATATATAATCAGTGTTATAATAAAAAATTTAATAAAAACGATACTAATGTTAACACTTCTATTGAACTAACGGATATCTCAGATGAATCAATTGAATGCGACAAGAAATCGATTAGCAGTCTCCCAGAAATAGAGATGAGTAAAAACAAGGACAAGGTTCAATTTAGGAAATTTAACAGAGCCCCCTGTAACCGAAATTTGAGCAATTATTAAAAATTAAAATTTATTGATTACTTTTCTTAACATGTTTCTTATTATAAATTAAATAATATTATTATTTTAATATTTCGGATCATGTTTTAAGTTTCGATTGATAATTAATAATTATTACTAATATTGTTAAGTAACAATTAAAATTGTAAAATTCTTTTAAAAATTATTTTTCATTTTTAAACAAGTTTTTAGTTATTAATCGATTAATATCTATATTACTTTACTTTATGATGTAGCGATTAAAATTCACTCATTCCTTTTTCAAGTTCTTATATTCCTTATTATTATGTTCTTAGTTGTTAATTGAATAAGATTGACAATAAATAAAGCATTAGCTATTGCAATTGTATCTGATAAAATTATTTTAATTGTTGAATGATTTTACTGTATTTCAATATTTTATTGTACTAACTTAGGATCTTGACTTTATCGTATCCTACGTTTATCTCAAAGGATAAGCCTCCGTCTTAAGGGGGGAGATGTTATGAACCGATGTACAAGGTAGTAATTGTTGTTGTAAGCATTATGTAAAGTATATAAAAGTGATTTTTCATATAATTTAAGCAGTCAAACTCTAACCTCTGTTCGGTACACAACTTTGTTATAGTTTATAATATTCCGAAGTGTAAATTAAATTAAATTAGTTTTGCAGCAGTAAAGGTGTCTTTTTTTAAAAAGGACCCCAGGCGAGCCATCCTAACATCGCACACGCGATCATAGACTGAACGTTGTTCTGCAGTCATCATTGGGACACCATTTTCTAATGTTGCCAGCAGTTCCATTGAGTGGTAACCAATCACTGCGGAATATTCCCTATTGGTAACCTCTCCGACTGAGGTTGGTGTTGGTAAACCATATTCACAGAGTGATTTACCGCCTACTGCTGTACTTAAATCTTCCTGAAGAGCTAATAAGTACAGATTTATGGCAAGATCACAAATTATCATTAGTTGCGCCTTCATCATTGTGAGATAATATATTCCGAAGAAAGTCTTCTGCAAATTTTTCTTTATATTTTTCCCATAATTGTACAGGATCTGACAAATTACAAAATGTGAGTAATGTTACAAATAAATGGCGTAACCGTCGTGGATTATCACTAACACAGGATTCTACTAAAGGGTCATCCCAATGCTGATCATTTTCAAGCAAACAACGCGCTTGGCAAGCTGCATGATAAGTTGGATAAACAACATCGTCTACTTTTCTCAAATCTATAAATGATGTTGGTCCTCGCACTGTATATAATAATAATCGCAAATAGAAACACTCAGCGTTGTTAGGATGAACGGTATACACTCTACCAAGAACATATTCTTTGAAAATACCCGACTCGCCATCTACAGGCCTGCCACGGCGTCTACGATTAAAGACACCTCGTTGCTTATCGTAGGTATAATACGATGGAACTTCCTCATACAAAAGAGATTTTGCAAAATCATCAGTTTGGCAAAGTCGAAATAATGCTAATAAAGTTGTTTGTCTAGGGTTCTCTAATCGTTCCGTAACATTTTCGGCGTTGAAATATATACGTTGACCGCCTTCAAGATGAACATCCAAATGAGTCACAGGTGGATATCTTTCGTGTTGAAACTTAAGATCCGCCACACAGCTTCTGAAGAGCTGATATATCTGCCTGACTGAAATCTAGTAACTTCATCATGTTTATTTCTCAACGCAAATGTAGCTTGGTCACTGCCCTTGTTAATAATAGTAATATTAAAAGTAAATAAGTAATAATAATAACAAAACCACTATCATGCAGTTATTCGCCTTCCAGTCGCTGCCATCTGGAAAAATTAAAGGCGCAAAGGCCCGCTTGTGCACATGGCCCCACCATAAAACAGCGCCGGGTCTGGGCGTCTCCCGTTAAATAACGCCCACTTTTATGGATGATGGAATATGCAAAAACGCGCAAAGGGCCGCTGCCTGGAGGTCGCCAGGGCGCGTCTGGAGCTGGCGCTGGACGCGACAGCATGCGAACCGCCAGCCGAGCGAGAGGTGCTGCACGACCACCCATCAGCCCCTCGCATCCATCATCCCCACCATCTGGCTTTGTGTCGGCAGGGTCTTCGCGGGCCCAGCAATCGGCTCCCGCCACTGGTGGAGTACGCCGCATGCGATGGACAACCGAAATGAATACTAACGCATTGCGGGCGTATTTTAGGGCGAAAGGGGGAGAAGTTGGAGGTTTGGCGTATCGGGCTAGGATGCATCGTCTTTTTGCTTAGCTGGAGCCATCTTTAACCGTCTCAGAGCAAAACCTGGCAGACAGGGTTCGGTATATCTTGCGCTCAAATATATTTGATGTCGCCGAACTCGAACGACTACGACGTGAGGCTGTTCCCTCATCGGATGAAAATGCTACGGCTGAGGATGCGGCGCCACAAATTGCAGAGCACCCCGCAAACGTGAATGCCGCCGTGAATACCCCAGTTGTGGTTGATTCAAACGATGATGGAACAGTCGCCCAGGAACTGGAATTAGAGCATATGAGGAGTACAAGTTGGAAGAGGCGATTGTGGAAACGCGCAGTACGCCTCTCGAAAATCGACCGCGACTTCCCCGCATAGCCCTAAGCAAGCGGAATCGGGCTGTCGTGAGGGCTCTGAACCCAATGCTGGTGACCTATTTGGAAGCCAGCCGGGACCTTTGCGAGACGGACTCAATTCTTTTTGGCACCGCACTGGCAGTGTGCCGTATTATAGGCGCCAAACTTTCCACGGCTGGACGCGCTACTGGACAAAGTAGCGCTATCCCAGCCTGGAGAATAAGAATTGAAGAACGTATCGCAAAGGCTAGGGCCCTCATCGGCAGACTGATATGCTTCAGGTCAGGCAACAACAGGCCAAGGATTGTGCGCACCGTCAGGATGGCATTTGCTGGGACAAATGTTAGTTTGTCCCAGCCGGATATAATGCAAAAACTGACGGAGCGCATAGACGACCTGAAGCAGAGAATCGCTGCTTGGGGAAAGCGGATTCGGCGATATACCGAGAGTTCGACACGGTTTAACCAGAATCGTCTCTTCCAGAGTGATCAGAAGAGGCTCTATAAATCGTTGGAGTGACCAATGGTAAGTGGAACGGGCCCAGCACCGAATCAGGCCGACACAGTAGCATTCTGGCGCGGCCTATGATCAGAGCCCATAAACCATAGCGAGAGCCCTTGGACGGAAGTTGTGGCGAGTCAGTGTGCGAGTATAACGCCCATGGACTCCGTCATTATAACGCCGGATGACGTAGCTGAGGCGGTCCGTAGGGCCCCGAACTGGAAAAGTCCGGGACTCGACGGGCTGCATCACTACTGGCTGAAGGGGTTTGTGGTGTGTCACACTGCGCTCGCCCGACAGCTCCAAGAGGCTCTCAACCAGAAGTCGCTCCCGAGCCTCTTCACTACTGGGATCACGCATTTGGTTCCTAAAGACAAGGTTACCACAGACCCGAGCAAATACCGCCACATCACGTGTCTGCCGACCATATACAAGACACTAACATCCATTTTGAGCGCGAGAATCACTCGTCACCTGGAATCAAATCAGGTGATGTCGCGCGCTCAAAATGGATGTCGGGGCGGCGGTTGTGGAACAAAGGAACCACTCCTCATTGACGCGGTCATTGGCAAAGTGGTGAAACGCAACCGTCGGAACTTCTCCGCCGCCTGGATAGACTACAGAAAGGCATTTGACTCGGTGCCCCATACATGGCTAAAGAGGGTCCTCGAGCTGTACAAGATTGACTGTACAGTTCGAGACTTCCTCGAGCAGTGTATGGGGTAGTGGAGTACGATCCTCTGTCATCTAGGCGAGCGGATGACGGCTGCGGAAAGCCGCATAAGGATAAGAAGGGGTATATTCCAGGGCGACTGTCTGAGTCCAATCTGGTTCTGCCTCTCTTTGAACCCTCTCAGTACTTTACTGGAGGATTCCGGGAAGGGATTTCAGCTTCGGAAAGGAGGTACAAAAATGATCCAACTTTTTCTATATGGATGACCTCAAATTATTCGCCTCCAGTCGCTCCCATCTTATGGAATTGCTAAACATCACTTGTGAATTTAGCAATTCTATCGGAATGGAGCTGGGGACGGATAAGTGTGCGGTCCTCCATGTTGAGAGGGGTAGGGTTGCTAACTCTGAGGGCATAGACTTATCTATGCCCGTCAACTTAAGGACCCTTTCCGAGGCTGAAACATACCGATATCTGGGTATGTCACAGAACATCGGTATCGATGAGGCTGGTATGAAACAGTCAGTTTGCGACACGTTTTATGCACGCTTGACCAAAGTGCTTAACAGCCTTTTGTCCAGTGTGAATAAGGCACACGCATATAACGGCTGGGTATCGCTTCGGCATACTTAGGTGAACTCAAACTGAACTTAACGCCCTGGATAGAAAAGTCCGCACTGCCATGACGTCCCATAGGATGCATCATCCGAGATCGTCGGTAATGAGGCTGTACTTGCCGCAAAAGCATGGTGGGCGTGGCTTCCTGAGCGCGCTCATCATGCATAATCGCGAAGTGTGCAGCCTCCGTGATTACTTCTTGGCGAGACCGGATGATCCATTCTATAAGGACGTCATTTATTGTGATAAAGGACTTACCCCTCTATCCTTAGCCAACGAGCAATGGCAAGACCCGGCAGTGCTGAGCACATCCGACCGGGAGACCGTATGGAAGGAGAAGGAGCTCCACGGGAGGTTCTACAAGGCTCTACATGAGCCTTTCGTAGATGCAGTAGCCTCCCTCCACTGGCTACGCTTTGGTGACCTCTTCGCGGAAACTGAGGGTTTTGTCTGTGCCATACAAGATCAGGTTATTAAGACCAACAACTATCGGAGATAAATCCTAAAGGATGGCACCGTCGAAATCTGTCGAGCTTGTCGCCATCCCGGTGAGTCACTTAGGCATGTCATCTCCGGTTGTTCGGCGCTTTCTAACTCTGAGTACTTGCACAGACACAACCTAGTAGCCATAATTCTTCGCCAGGAGCTTGCTCTGAAATACGGTCTCGTGGATCGGAAATTGCCGTATTACAAGTACTTGCCGGAAGCCGTGCTCGAAAATGATCGCGCCAGGCTCTATTGGGACCGAGCCATCATCACAGACAGGACTATTCTTGCGAATAAGCCTGATATTGTGCTGATGGACCGGGCACAGTCAAGGATATTTTTGGTCGACATTACCATTCCGTATGACGAGAACCTCGTGAAAGCCGAAACAGATAAACGAACAAAATATCTGGACCTGGCTCACGAGGTGACCGACATGTGGGGTGGTCTGCCGACCGAAATTATTCCTGTAGTCGTCTCTGCAAACGGGCTAATCCCAGTCAGCCTCTCGGGTTATCTGAGGCGGTTGGGACTACGTGGCGGACCGCACCTGGGTCAAATGCAGAAGACGGTGCTCCTCGATACTGCCTGCATCGTCCGCCGGTTTCTTTCCCTTTCCCCTAACTCTCGGACGTTTGGTCTCCCCTGCCGAGGGCCTCCATCTGGTTGGGTTTTTATTTATTTATGTATTTTTATATTTATTTAATTTTATCGATATTTATGTATATTTATCTTTTCATTTCAATTTATAAATATATATTTATAGAACCCAACCAGATGAGAAAACTATATTGATACCCCCCAATAATAATAATGAGAAAGTTATATAGATAACCCAAAAATAATAATAATAAGTGTTTATTGCAGACGTAAGGATCCACAGATTGTTAGTATATTAGTAACAATTTTCCTTAACTTCTAAGTTAGTATTGTTAGTTAATGTTAATTATGTACAAATTATTTTTTTCGCCCAATAGCTACCGTCATACAGTGGTGCAGTATGAAGCAGTCGGGCCTGGCAGCAATTACCCTTAGGATGCCGTTGTTGCTGGTACGTAAGCGCTGCAGGAGAGACGCTGCTTTTCTACGCATTATGGCGAAAAAGTCATTAGTGCGTGCGTCTGCGAACATTTTAGAGGCACTACAGCGCTACGGCAGCCTCAACAGCATCCTAAAGGCGTTGTTATATTGAACACGCAAGGCGCTGTAGGCCCGGCGCGTATAAGTCACCCGCAGACCACCGGTATAGAAAGACTGACAGAACGCTTTAAATAAAGTTAACTCTCACGTCTGCAGTGCACCGGGTGAATCGGCGGGCAAGCATATTGCCCCTTACCGACAACGCTCTGCGCTCTCGTTTCCTCATCATCTCCTAGGTCGCTCGTAACTATATAACCCAGATATTTAAACTTCTGTACGACCTTCAGAGGTACACCATCGAGACATACGGGTGGCACATGTCGTAGCTTCCGTTTCGGTGCCTTAAATACTAATATTTCACTCTTTTTTGAGTTGTATTTTAGGCCATGTTCCTCCGCATATGTCTCGCAGATAGAAAGCAGTTTCCTCAGTCCTGCTATAGAAGGACTGAGCATCACCATGTGGTCAGCATAGCTTATGTTGTTGATACATATGCCATCGATGTGGCAGCCAACATATGTGCTGCTAAGTCGTTCAATCAGTTGGTTTACATACAGGCTGAACAAGGGTAGAGAGCTTAAGCCACCCCGCCTTACACCGCATTCGAGCCTGTATTCTTCCGACAGAACTCCAACCCACCTCACCTGGTTACGCTAGTTAGCATACCAGTATCTTAGTAGAGCCGTGTACTCCGCCGGCACACCCGCATCCCGCAACTTGCCCCACAGCATGTTGTATGAGACCAGGTCCAAAGCTTTCGATAAGTCGAGGAAACACGCGTACACCGGTGTCCGCCTTACGGTGTAGTATTTGACAGTGTGTTTCAGACTGTAAATGGTGCTCTCCGTCGATACATTCTGTTTAAACCCAAATCGTGCATCGTTTATTAGTAAGTATTTGTTGAGACACTCATTTAAGACCGAATACGAAGAGAACTTGCGAAAATTAATGTATTTCTCTTGACTAGAACTTTGACCTGAAGTAATTCTAAGCTTTAAAACATTTTTGTAGGTTTGTTCGGGTCCTTCACAAGGTCACCGTCATTTTAAAATTTTAAAATAAATGAATATACCAACAAGTAAAAAAATGTTAAGAAATGATATATAAAATTATTGTTCTTCCAAAACTCTGTGAATTTTAATTTAGGAAAAATTCTTTTACGTAAAAATGTTTGTATTGTGATTCCGAAGGTACCTGCTATCTTTATTTTCGATACAAAATATTATTTATTAACATAATTCGTTTTAATTAAAAACACCTAATAATAATATCGTATATTGCCAGATAAAAGTTTGCCGTAATAAATTACCAGGCGCTTCGACGTGTGACGTAAGATAACAACAGTCGATGTGTCTGTAGCGAAAATCGTTAATTTATTGTTTTATACGCGTTTAAGTGTCTATAAATGTAAATATGGGTAGGAAAAGAAATAAATGTTACCTAAGTGGTAAAACAAAGAGAGTTTATCGCATGAATGCTGCTCGAATTTGTATTTTGAGGTTAATACTTATATTTTTGTAAGGTAATTTTTTGTTTGAGGCTGCCTAATAGGTTGCATTTTTACATTTACATTAGCCAAACTGATCATTTATACTTTTCTATTTCAAGTGAGAAACACTAAAAATATAAAATATCAAGACCCAGTCGGAAAAGAATGTACAGAGTAGTGCAAGCACAGAGACCGCAAATAATATCAGTCAATGTATTGTCCGAAAGCATGGGGTAAAAGTACATAATTAAGGAAAACCGAAATACTTCGGATGTGAAGTGATTGACCAGTCGGAGTAGTCTTGTGAGAATTTACATTCACAGTACCTATCCCCACTATGGGGCAATCACCGACTTTTTATTTTTTTTCTTTATTATTTATGCAATTTGCATTACGGCATCTTGTAAGACTCACAAGAATAAACATTTTTAGTTATATGAGGTTCTTAACGTACGATGCACAAATGAAGAAAAAAAATCGTTATCAATTCAATAACTTTTCGAACAATATTTTATAACGAATAAAGTACAGAATTTATAATCTATAGGAACTAATATTATAAATAAGAAAAATTTATTTAAGAAGTAAGCAAGCTCTCTGTGTTGTTCATTA